CCTTTTTATCTCATTAAAATGAAAAATATGACCGTTATCCATCACATCAACGTTTAAATTCAAATTTTCTATCTTTTGTGTGGGGTCCCAATAATGGCTATATTTTTCATTCTCATTCTACAAAAAGGTGGCTCAAACAGGGCATTGCTATTACTATTGTTAGATGTACTTGTCATGATGTCCTTCTCAAGGAGTGTCACATCTGATATTCATCTTGATTTATATAACTACGCGATTTGTTTCCATGTGTCATTTTATTCTGTGATTAAATTTCCTTCTTTCCCCACATTAGGTATTGTGGTGACAAATGATGGAAATGCTATTCTCCGCGAGTTAGATCTTGCACACCCTGCAGCAAAGGTATAGTCTCTTTCTTCTGTTCTTTTCCCATGAATTTTTGTAATTTTAAGCGGTCTGACTCCTATTGACCTCTGTTTGTAATTGATTTATGTTGTGTTTTCTCCAAATATAATATTTAACACTTTACTCTACTCTCTTTCATGATTGCCTTTTGATATATACATGCATTTTTTTTTCTGATGCTGTGGCAGTCAATGATTGAACTAAGTCGAACTCAGGATGAGGAAGTAGGAGATGGAACAACATCTGTCATTGTTCTTGGTAAAGATTGAGCTTACTTCAATTGATTTCTTTACTGTATGTACGTATGATGTACTTGTGGGGTTATGCTAACCCTGTTACACGGAGTTAGTTGCTTATCAACTTCCCCATATTTTTAGACCCAATAAACCTTGTCACATTAGTAAGGGGTGTATTTGTGAATAAAGAAAGAAAAGAAGAGAAAGGAAAGGAAAAAAGACCAACTTCCTCTTCCAAAATCAAACTCCAAGTCCACATTCTGCTCCCTTCTTTGCTGCCGACCTCCCCCACTGAGGAGAATTGGCTAATTGGGTTTGTTCGAAAACCTCATTTAAGTATAAAGACGAGTTATTGACCAATCAAAAAGAAAAGGAATATTTACAACCATCTCGCTTCTGTGTTCTGTAAAACTAGCCCCACCTCACTGTGTGTGCATGAAATTACATGCACAAATTTCACACAGTGAAGGTGTCTCCGATCTACTGAAGATCAGTTACAGACCGAGGGAGGGAATTCAAAAAATAAAAAGAAAGCACTTGAACAAAAAAGACGCATCTTTTATTTTTTAAGTCAGTGTGAATGGAGATTGATTTCTTGGGTGTTCTTCTCTAACTATCCACAGGCAAAAATGAAACTGAGCTATGTGTTTTGATCATTTAATGTCCCTTCCCTTTTTTCATTTCATCATTCAATCTCACACTACATAAAAAATTCTTTAGCTTGCGATTGAAACAATTTTTTTTTCTTTTTAATTTTTATCAAAAGCCCCCAATATTGGCTAAAGCTACAATAATGCTGCTTTAAATAAATGTAGCATGGTGTCATGGTGGTTTGAGGCTGCATTGCTTTGGCATTGAAATGTGACTCAATGAAACACAAACAGAGAATACTATGTATGATGATGGTTGTGATAATGGCTTAACTTTTGAATAATGTTTATTGTTGAAGCGGGTGAAATGCTCCATGTTGCGGAAGCCTTCATCGACAAAAAATATCATCCTACAGTCATTTGTCGAGGTAATATTCGAATACTATGTCATTTTCAGTTTTCCTGTTCTCTTGGGTGACAAGTTTCCTATGTGACTGCACTGTAGCTTATAACAAAGCCCTTGAGGATGCAATTGCTGTGCTTGACAAAATTGCCATGACTGTCGACGTGGAGGATCGTAAGTTTCACTTTATTATTTTCTGTCCCTGTTTTAAAATTTGCAGAAGTTCCATGTTTATCAGAATGATTTCAGTCAATTGGCATGTTACTTGAGTCAAGACTGAGGAGGATCATGATCAAGTCTTACTCTTCTCCTCAAAATGCATAAAGCCTAGTTATCTTTCTATTATTTTCGTTAATTCATATTATATGTCATTAGAATATCTTGCCCTCTACCTTATGCTGTAGCCGCCAGAATATTTGTACTTTTGTCAATATGATGTCGAAGATAGGAACCACAAAATATCTGGTTAAGTATAAAGTTGTTTGGGTGTAATCTTTAAGGTCGGAAGTATGCTAGAAACTAGAAACCTAGCAGTCAGTAGTGGTTCTGATTGTCTCATATCTTTGTTAGGGCATCAGATCATTGCTTTTTCTTAATACTTTTTTCTTTTGGTTTCCTTTTACTCCTCTTTCCACCCCGAGAAGTTAGATGTCTCACCTCTCTGTTGTTGCTAGCTGCTTAAATGAGACTGAGCAGATCTGCCTTCACGTTTAAGGAGAAGATATTGAAACAAAGATACTGAAATAATTAATGGGCATCTTATCAAATATGATATAAAATTTATCTAGGAATTCATTTTTTGAACTTGATAGCAAAGTTTAAGCATCATGTAGTAGAGCTTTTGCCTCAAATTTAGAAGCTTTTTGCTGAATCCCTTGTGCAGTTGACCTATACTCCGGCTCTTATAAGAGTACAGATGTATTCATGCTATGGCTTCAGGTTTGTGCTTCAGATTAAGTCCACTCATCTGGCTGATTGTTCTATTAGGATGGTAGTGACTGGGGTCTCTCAACTTGTAGTGATATATCGCATCAGGCTTTTGAATGGATCCTCTACTGTTTTCCTGACATCATTTTTTTTTGTGGAAGGCTTAGTTTACGTTTTTTAAAAGATCACCATCTCTCTCTCTCGCTCTCATAGTTTTAATGTTTGTAGTTATTCTTTTATACTTATGGATTACTGAATTTTATCGTCTCGCAGGTGCAACAATGTTAGATCTTGTCAAGAGTTGTATTGGGACAAAATTTACTAGTCAATTTGGGGATCTGATAGCAGTAAGTATTCTATCTTGTATTACAGTTCATGCTATGTAACTGTCTCAACAACACCACTCCTCTCTCTACGTCTGTATACACTATGCCTTGATGGATTAAATTTCTCGTCCTGGAAAACAGGAGTCTATGCTGGCCGCATTTAATATCTAATGCTATATTATTAAGAATTTTAGTTGTGCGGTCTTTCCTTGTTAAACATGAGATCACACAGAATTATGACTTCCTGAGAAAATCTAAGAAAAATAAAGCATTCGAGCAGATTGTTTTATGGGTTATATTTTGATTCAAGTTGGACCTAAAGGATCTTTATTTCTGGTGAGACTTTCAGGATTTAGCAATAGATGCCACGACCACGGTAGGTGTGGATCTCGGCCAAGGTTTGCGCGAGGTGGATATCAAGAAGTACATTAAGATAGAGAAGGTTCCTGGTGGCCAGTTGGAGGATTCAAAAGTTCTGAAAGGAGTCATGTTTGACAAGGATGTTGTTGCTCCGGGTAAAATGAGAAGAAAAATACTGAACCCAAGAATCATTCTTCTTGATTGCCCCCTTGAGTACAAGAAAGGAGAGAACCAAACAAATGCGGAATTATTGAGAGAAGAAGATTGGAGTGTATTGCTAAAAATGGAAGAGGAATACATTGAAAACCTATGCGTGCAAATACTGAAGTTCAAACCAGATTTGATAATTACAGAAAAGGGGCTCAGCGATTTGGCCTGCCATTATTTTAGCAAGGCCGGTGTCAGTGCCATCAGAAGGCTGAGGAAGA